CAGTAGCTCTCCTTATTTCCCACAGCAAAATTATGTTAGACAGCTAAAATACATTAAATGCTATGCCAGTGTCAATTTCTCTGTGAGTTACCACTTTAGTTGTCAAAGGACACCTCCATCAATGGAAAAGGAGAAGTCAAGGCAGTAATTTCCATTGCCCTTCTCTTTGCAGAGTCATTAGTTCCTCTGCAATTCAAGTGCAGAATGAAAACATTTATATTTGATGGCATTTACACTCAATTTGAACAATTGCAATTGACTTCACAAACTGCAGGGTATTTAGGAAATAAATCCAGAGTATCCTTACAGTTAACATGTATCTTTAAAAACAAGAAGTCCCTTAAAGTAAACTTTACAAGAATGCCAGTATCTAGCAAAACTCTCATGCTTTCCCACACTGGTATCTCTGTGAAGTGGCAAGTTTACTAAGAAATCATACCATGTTCCCAAAACTGTAAATCAAGGTTTCCTGAAGTTACAGTGAAGGGAGACAATGCCTGCTGTAGTGTTGCACAAAGAGTTGTTTGTGAGAGCAAGACTGTAGGTGGCTGGGAAGGAGTCCAAGGCAATGAATTGACCTGCTAGAGGGATCTTATCACCGTATCTAATGCAAGGATTAAAGCCCATGTTGTGTGAGCTCTCAGGGCCAGTCTCAGAGTGCACAGACTTTGCTGGCAGCCTGGGAACTCCCAGTCTCACGCTGGCTGCTTGCTGTCTCCAGTGAATGAGAGCTGGGTTGGGGACCATGGATGCCTTCTGGTTCAGGGCTGTCTTGTGTTGTTGGTTGCAGAGTTTGTTCGCATGATGTCCCGTTGAAGATTATTCTCAGCTAAAGAAGAATCAGCACCTTAGAGAGGGCAGAAGAGGACCTAGATGGAGCATCTAGCCCCGATGTTCCTACATGAAGGTTTATCGGCTGGCTGCAATTAGGACATTGCAAGATGACCTGCTGCTCCTCCCTCATGGTGGTCCCCATGCCCCTCCACCCTTTCACACTGTGAAAGACTTGCAACTTCCTACAACTGGAACCATTCCTTGAAGATGATTGCAGGAAACTGCAGAGCCAGGACTTGCCATGATGCTTTCATGGGATATTTGCAACTTTAGACTCCTCCTCCCCAGCTTTATTCTCCCACCAGCTGCTGCAAAGCAAAAGCAGGAGAAATCCTCTTGGCTAGGTGGATGAGAGCAAAGCCATTGGGACTGGTGGCAGCCTCAGGGCGTGCTCTGCACTTCTTGGTTTCCCTTGGTGAACCGTGTCTGTGTTTGCTGTCTCAGTGTGTGTCTATCTGTGTGGAGTTATTTATGCTTCCCCAACACTTATTTGCATCTCCTGTGGTTATGTTTACCAAGAGTAAATTAAAATATATGTCTTGCAGGGGGGAAAGTGATAAATATGCACGTTGAAATGATGTGGAGCCTGGATTGTCCCTGTGAGAGGTGGTGGCCGGGCTGGGGGAGAAGGGCTTGGGCAGATGCACTTGCCAGTGTCTGCACCAGGATCCAGAAGCAAGCCCTTGCCGCAGGTAGGGGAGTCAGTGCTGGCTGCTAAGTCTGTGTCAGGTCTCTGCCCTCCCTCCCACTGTCCCCATGGCTAAGGTGCCTGGAGGTGCCTCACAGTGAGAGCAGTGTGAAGGGTCCCCATCTCTGCATCCCCTCCACTGGCATGGGCACAGGTGAGAGCCCCTGAAGTATTGTGGGAAGGACCAATGGGAGAAAGGGCCCAGAGGGGAACAGGGTGGGAAGGGGATAGGCAGCAAAACCTCACCCCTTTTCAGATAATTTTGAACACAACTGTGAGGACATGTATGGTGGGACCATTCTGTGGGGGCTGAACTGTAACTCCATGGTGCTGAGGATTGTCTGGGAGCCTCCTTGTGTGGCAGTGCCCTGCTCTCCACCCTCTTCACACTCAGAAATGGTGCACATGTCTGCAGCAGTGACAACAGCAGTCTCCAGGCCCTACCAGCTGCTTCCAGACACATCAGATCTTATCCTCCTTTCTCCAAGATGTTCCCAAACTACCACTCCCTTCCCCTACTCTACCAGACATACAGTTGTCTCCTTTCTCTATGCAAAGGCCCAGTCACAAGTTGCCAGGATTAATTTCTGCTTGGCTTCAAAGGGCACCATCATCACTGTGTGTTTCTTGGTGTGACTGGGAGCTGTTTTCCTCTTGGTTGCCTCCTTACTCAAACTGGGAGGTCAAGGACCAATATCCTCCTGCTTCCTCCATCTCAAATCTTTCGCTTCTGAGGTTTTCTTTCAGATTCTTGGGATCCACAAATCCATGTCACAAAGGAAGATTTTCTCTTCTGCTTTCCTGTGTCAACAAGCATAGCTGTAGTGATGGCTGATGCTCCAGTGATGGAAAAACAATGTTTCTCCTTATATTTGTATGTGTGTATGCGTGTTTACTTGTGTTTGCACAGGTGTGTGCACTAGGGAGGGTTTGTGTGTGCACACATAAAAGCAAGGAGTGCAGATAGGTACCTGGGAGTGCAGCAGTAGAAGAGTTTGTGTGTGTGTATGCAAACTGTGTCTGTTTATCTATGGAGCTGGTCCCATCTTGGAAATATGGGTGTGAGCCAAGAAATTGGAAAATGGGTATTTACAGATCTCCACATGTACTGGCTCAGCAGCTGTATTGTTGAGGGTGATATTGGAGATGAGTGTGATAAACTGAACAGAGTCCAGAGTCCTGGTACATTATAAATGTGTTTAGGGTAACACTGGGGAGGGGGAGCTGTGTGCAGGCTTGTGTCTGCCAAAGGGAGTGCTGGTACACAGCTGTGCTTCACTTACAGTGGAGTCTGTTGAGGAAGGAGCTGCTTGTGCATGTGGAGCAGGACAGCTGTGCTGCTGCCTGTGTGCTGCAGAGTGCTGTGCCTGCCTGTGGGCACTGGGGATGGCTTGGGGCATATGCCTTGTGCCACAGCCAGCATGTAGGAGCCCAGTGGATAGTCAGAGGCCACAAGCATGGTGGCTGCCTCTGCCTACTCCTTCCCAGACTCTGCCCTGAACAGTCACATCTTTTACCTGCAGCGTCAGATGGCAGGACAGTCTTTATTTAAAAGTGGTTACCATATGTCTAGAGGCTGGACTGATCCACAGTGCATCACGGTGGCTGGGCATCTTCCCTGCAAACTACAGCTGTTTTTGCTTAAACAGGTCCCTAGAGGTGCTTGTAGTGTGGCAGAACTGTGCCTGTCATCCCAAAAGTACTAGGCAAAGTCTGGCTGCAGGACACCTTTGTGTCATTGCAGAGGCAATCCTGGAACCACAGCTACTTCTGAGGAAAACTGAGTCTGCCAAATCATCTGTAGCTCTTTTCTGCCAGGTCTCACCATGATACAGTGAATAGGTCAGACAGGGCAGGTCTCAAAAGCCTTATTTTTTTTTTTTTTCTTCCAGCAGAAGCTCTTGAACTTCTGCTGCTAGCCTGATTTTACTTTCACAACAAACCCCAAATTATCCCAGAGAGTTTTACTATTTTCTTGTGTAGTCAGGGGCAGAGATTAAAGATCCAATCTAAATAATCTAATTCCAGAGATAATCCTTTTGCTCTCATCTCAAATTTGGTACCAGGCAGGCTTCCAAGGAGCTCTACATGACAGGGCACAGCTGGTCCCTCGTGGGCACTTGAGCCTTGTAGCCCTGTGCCATTTGAGAGGGCTGTGGGGCAGTGGGGCTGGCTCACACTCATTTCTTAGATCTCTCATTAGCCATGAGGTCTGCTTCTGACCCACACATCTTTGCTGCTCTTTTTGGACATCCCATTTCCAAGCAGGAATCCTGATCCCATTTTCAAGGAGGAAATGGCTAATATCCTAAACACGTGCCCCTTGTTGCTTGTGAACAATCAGGGTGGTAGGTAGACCAGGCAGGACTGATTCAAGACAGTCATTTTGGCACAGCTGCCAACGGACAGGGAGAGATCAAGGGATTGAGAAAATGACCCTGAGCCTTTCACTTGTAGGTTACTGGTGTAAATCCAGCCTGCATCAAGGGACAGACTGATGGCTCATTGGATTAGTAACAGGATGGAGCCTTTGACATCTGGGGCACAAACTGGCATCAAGTTGCTGGTGTCACAGAAGGTATTGATTCGGGGCAGCAGTGTAGGACACCACAGACACAGTTCAAACAGCATCTGCCATGCTCTGCCAGGAGCTGTGACCAGCCTGTGAGCCAGGGCAGGGCTCCTCTTGCCCCCAGATGAGCACAGCCACTGTCCCTCCTCACTGCTGCTCAGTTAATCCCTCTTGCTTTTTGATGTACTACTGATTCTTGGGAAATGATCATCCAAGCTCGTTTTTAGAAAATGCTCACCCTGGGGACGCCTGGTAACACTTAAAGTGAGGCTCTTCCGTTTATGTGCTTCAAAGTTGTGTTCCTGAGCCACACATCGCAGTTTGAAGTGTAGGATTAGGGAGGATCATTTGTAATCAGCACAAATGAGCTCTAATGAGGCCTCCCTCGGCCTCACCAACTGGACAGCATTGTCCTGGCCACGGTTGCTTGCACTCCTTTGGTAACAGAGCTTGGGGGACACCCAACAGGTCACAAACACAGCAGGGATACAGATTAGCCTGGATTTGATCAGATGCTGCCAGGGCTGGGGTCTGTAGTGCCGAGATGATTTGCCAGGAATCAGCGTGAGGTGGCTGAATCTGGAGAGGTGCTAAGTGTACGCATTTCATGCTACTAATCTGGATGTGGCTTCCTAAGGCACCCAGTAGTTTTAGGAACCCCTCCCTGGCAGCAGTGCTGGTGTGGGAGTGCAGCAGTGCCATGTCTGTCCTGGCCCAGTTATACCATGAGTCTAAGAATTGATGTCATAGCAGCAGGAACATGCTTTGGGGTGCACTCCAACCCGGGGAGATCAGACTGAGGAGCAGGGGGTGGGTGGATACGCATTCTCCCAAACAGTTCATTTCTCCAAGACTGTGTGGTTAAGAAGCCCATAGGTGCATTACAAAAGCAACAAATGCATTTAATTCTCAGTCAGCAGCACCAAGTCTTTATTTATAAAAGCAAATGCTTTGCAAAATACTTGAATTAATAAAACTGGCACTTAGAAGCAGCCACTGCTAATGCAGCCGGTGCCAAGAGCACAGGCCTGAGGCCTGGCCGGTATCTAATACCTCAAGGAACACCGTGGTCAGACAGAAGGGCAAACATTAAGTTATTTGTTCTCCCTTTGTGTAGGGACTGAATTTCATTTGACCTCCACCTGAAATATCTCTCTCCAGCCACCTTGCCAAGGTCCTCTAGAAAATAAACCCAGGATTTTACATGCTCCTATAAAGTGCAAGCTAGGGATCAGCCCGCTGGCAGTGTCACGGTCACCTCCCCGCCTTCCCCTTCACTGGCCGCTTTGCTTCTCAGGCAGATCTTTGTGGTGCAAGGTGCTTGCACGCCACCGGCCGCTTCTCTCCTTACCGGGCGAGCGGCAGCTGCCTGTTCCCTTCTCCATGGCAGGGGCGAACAGGAGAAGCACCGTGTTTTGCCAAGGCAGCGAGCCGGGCTTGGGAGCCGCTCAGAGCACAGCCAGCACGGAGCTACCCGGACGTGGCGAGGAGCCGCCCCCGACGGTGGTGGAGCTCCCGCTGCCCCAGCTCCACTTCCAGCCCCTTTCCCGAGCACACCGGGTGCACATTGAGTCCGCTCCGGTCCGCGCTGCCGCAGCGCCGCCCGTTGCCCCGGCAACCCTCCCGTCTGCGCTTCCCGCCGCCCCACCGTGCTCCGCGTTCCGCCGCGCTGGAGCACCGCGATTGGCGGCGCGGAGGGGCGGGCTCTGCCCACCGGCGGCCGGCGCTCTGGCCAGCGCTCTGGGCTGTCCTCGCTCCGGACATAGCGCTGGGGAGTGTCGTCCGTGCCCGCCGGTCCTTCCTGGGGGAGCCGGTTCCACACCCGCTCCGCTCCCTGCGTGGGCGGTACCGGCCCCGGGCACCTCGGCCCGCAGGGACCCGGCTCCCCGCGCCGCTCCGCCGCTGTCCCCGCGCCGCTCAGCCCAACCCGCCCATCGCCGCCGCTCATTGGCCTGCCGCCTTATGAATATGCAGATACAGGCCCGCGGCCGTCTAATGGCAGGCGGGCAGTTAATTAATATTCTCGTTTCGGCGCGCGGATTGGTCGGTGCTCGCCCCGCCCCGGCAGCGGGGTAAGCCGCCCCCTGTCGGCGGCAGGAAGGGGCGGGCGCGGCGCCGGGAGCGCGACATGGTGGGCGCTGGTGCGCGCGGGGCGCCGCTGCTGCTGCCCGTGCTGCTGCTGCCGCTGCTGCTGCGGGGCGCGGCGGGCGGCATCGCCGACAGCGTCGTCTGGGCCGTCAACGCGGGCGGCGATGCCCATGTGGACGTGAACGGCATCCACTTCCGCAAGGACCCGCTCGAGGGCCGCGTGGGCCGAGGTGAGGGCGGGAGACACGCCGCGGCCGCGGGGTTTCGGCGGGACAGCCCGCGGGGGCCCGCTCCGCTCCGCTCCGGCTGCGAGGCCCCGCTGTGCCGGCGGGGTCCGGGACCCGCGCGTCCCCGGCGCCGTCCTGCCCGCAGCAGCCCCGGCGGGTCTGTGGGTGTCCCCGCAGGACGGCGGGGGCTCCTCTCCCTCAGCCGCCCGGGGACGGTCGTGGCCCGAAGGCAGCGCCGGCACTTGTCACCAGCGGGACTGCGGCCACGCTCGTCCTCCCGCCGGGCCCGGCTGGAACCGCATTCACCGTCCCCGTGACTGTGCGAGCCCGGGGCTCCAGAGGCGGCGGGATGAGCCCTGCGGGATGGTGTTCCTGTCCTCGGCCTGCGGGGTTGTGTAATGCCGAAGGGGAAGTGGCTCCGCGAGGGTTGGAGTGGGAAAGGCGGCGGGAGCGGTCAAGCTGCCAGCCGTGCCGCGTGCGCCCGACGGTCTCCTTTTCTCTCCCGTTTTCCAGTGAAGAGCCCGTGTTCCACAGCAGGATCCCCCAGTTCGCAGCCCAGTGCGCAGCGCGCTCGGTGCAGTGGGAACAAGCTTTTCCAGCCCTCTGCAGCCGGATCTGGGTCGCGCGCGATGTGGGCTGATGCTTGCAGCATTCTGGTCCCGACAGCGAAGAGCACAGGCTGCTCGCTGGAGCCCGGTGCTGGGCCCGGCACAGGGAAGGTGCAGCCGGCTGCTCTGCTCCATGCCTCAGTCGTGGCTGGGTGTTCAAGGGCAGGGACATGAGCAGAAGTAGAGGCAGATGGGAAATCATCGGCTGGTCTAACTACCAAGTCAGTAAAATCTTCAGCCTACTCTTTAGGACAGGATGAAGAACTAACTGCACTTGTGTTACCTTTTCCTACTCTCTCCAAGACCACCACAGTTTGAATTGTGCATGTTTTTGATAATTGGTGTACCAAAACATAGTAGATTCACTAATATATTGAAAAACTAGTTGTGCTGAGCTGCTCTGCTGTTGGTTAGAAGCGAGTGGTGGAATGTGGAGAAGATGAGCTCTCTGTTGACTTTTGAGTCTAACCTTTGCTGTTTCCATGTAAGATGGTGAGGATTTTCCTGTGCTATACAGCTGGAACTGCTATTGCTTACCTTGCATGAATGCCATCCCAAATGGAGAGCCTTTTGGGCACACTGGGTACAGTGGAGGTTACATTTAAATTCTGATACAGTTTTTCACACCCCCGGAAGCTGCTGCTGCAGTCACACAGGGTGCCCTCATGTCTCTAGGTCAGCTTTCCTTCATAGATCTCTCACATGCGTGACTCGAACGTCCTTGTAGACTTGAACTATTTATTTTTGGGTTGAGGAGAAAAAAGGGTCTTTTTCAAGCACATTGTGACATGCACTTTCTTTGTGGAAAGCCCATGGTGTTTTCTCTGAGCAGCAGGCTGTTACTGTAATCCTGCTTCAGCCAGTGGTGCCAGGCACAGTGGAGACTTTACCCCTTTGAGCTCTCAGCTGCCTTTCCCTCAATGGCTTTTTATTGCACCATTGTTCTTTTACTCTGGGCTCCTTTCTGTGTTGATAGACATGTAAGGGCTATAGCAGAAATGTATGGCTGACTGGGAGGAAATGACCTAGGGATAGTAATTCTGGGCTGTACTGCCTCTGGGCAATTTAAAACCTTTTTTTTTTTTTTCCCAAGCCTCTGTTCAGCTGCTGTGCCCTAAAGGACTGACTGTGCTGATGGCAATTACAGTATAGGCAGGTGCCAAACAAAGTTGAGTTACAGCTTGGTGTGTACTGCTCACTCCCAGTGAGCACCCAGAGTGCTGTAAAATCCATCTTGCTTCCACAGCTCTGTCAACAGAGCTCTGACATGCAGGTGACAGGTCTTCCTCTCCAGTTACCTTCTTGGCTATTGAAGGACTTTCTTCCTATGCAGGCTTTCCTTTAATAGGAGCTGACTTCTCTGGAGTCCCTGGTTCGCTATCACTATAATCTGTAGCTGGCCAGAAATACCTGCGTGGGAGGATGGGTTAAACTTTTCACCCTCTGTATTTCTGGTAGTTAGAGAATTCAGTCTTTATGCCCAAGTTTGAGTGGTAAAGAGAAGTGGAAGATTGCCTGAGCAGCTCTGTGTGAAACAGGAGACTGAGAACTGGCATTAATTTCCTCTCACTCGTTTGCATTGGCTCTGACTTTGGCAATGTGAGCTGGGTTAGTAGTTCTTGCTTTGTCTTGGCCGATGCAGTGTCTGTTCCCATGGAAATGGGGGTGGGAGAGGTAAGTGTCAGCAGAGAATTTCGTCTGGATCAACTTCTGTCTGAAGTACCGGTGGGCAGATGGTGTCCACAGTCTTTCCTCCTGCCCCTGCTTGGCTGGGGAATTGTTTGATGTGCAGCTCTGGAGCATTGTATCAGTTTGCATTTATACAGGAACCCTGATACAGTAGCATACCAAGTGGGGTTAAAGGTTTTGGAGGCTGCTGTAGAGGTGGTGAAACACTGAAAAGAGGCAAATTTTGTGATTTCTCTTATTTTGTCAGTTATTGTCCTGTTTGGACATGGTGTTTTGGCCCTTCTCAGGGGCTCTTCAGATGCCTGCAGATAGCGCCCATTTCAGCTGGGTGGCTTTGAGAACATCAGCTGATGGAGCTGCTGGTGCTCTTGAAACACTTGTCACTTTTTTGCTTCCTTCATCTCATCTTCATACTGACAGGTATTGTGGGGCTATGGTGGGAAGAAAGGGCTTTGTAAGATGCCTTCATGTTTTTCACCCTTCTGCCGTTCCCCAGGTTTAGTTTGAGGGGGGTGAGTCTCTAAAACCTGATGCTATCAACTGCTAACTTCAAGTATGTTGTGTCAATGAGTCGAGTCAGTCCTATGCTAACTGTTCTAGTTTTGTACTTGAAGTTTGAAATTTGAAAATATTGTAAAAATATTCTAGGTGTTTTCACTCTTTAAAGCAAGAGCCAATGGTCAAGTCCTTTGGCTTTGTTTTTGAAACAGGCTTTTCTTTCTGAAATGGTGCAAGTGAGCTTACTGTGTCTTAGACTGCAGCAGGTCTCCAGACTTGTTTTCCTACATTTCTTGGATTTTGGGTCTTTGGCTTCTTGTGTTTCTTCTCTGGTAGTGCTGCCACCTGGTCAGAGCAAGGTGATGGGTCTGATGGGTTGTAAGTGCTAATGCCATTTATGGAGTTAAGCACTTAAAGAATGTATGAAGTGTTTCTTCCTCAGAGTGTAACCCTTCCTGTCACTCTTCTGTGCTTGAACCCAGCTTCTGACTATGGTATGAAACTGCCCATCCTGCGGTCCAACGCAGAAGACCAGATTCTCTACCAGACAGAGCGTTACAATGAGGAAACCTTTGGCTATGAAGTTCCCATCAAAGAGGAGGGTGACTATGTGCTGGTGTTGAAGTTTGCAGAGGTCTATTTTGCACAGTCTCAACAGAAGGTAAGCAATAGCTCCTTGTGTGTCTCTGATCTGAGTTCCTGGCCAAGACTGTGTGTGCCCAGGTTGCCTCTGTTACTTTACATGCTGGAGGAAAAGGAATAAGGCACTAATTGTTAACTTAGGTCTCAACCTCTCCCAGGCTCTGAACCTTCAGAGCTCTCTTCTGAAAACTTAATTACAAAGTATTCAAACAAACATGTGCAACTAAACATAACTAGCAATAGAGTTTTACAACCTGTTTAGGCTGTGCTGGCTTTGAGAAGTTTTTTTCCTTTTTCTTGAACGCTTGCTTCTGACTTGACAGCATAGTTATGCTGGAGGAAGTATTGCATAGATTGAAGCAGGGAGGTAATCTGGGTTAAATAGCCAACTCAAAACAATGTTTACAAATGTAATAAGACTTGATGCTGGTTCAGACTGATCCCAAAAGCAGAGTTAAATTCAACTGCTTTTTGCTTTTTAGAGAAGAATATTCCTTGTCCACTTTTGAAATCTCTCATGTACAGAAGTCGAAACAGAAGCAAGCAGAACTCAAAGCCCTGTGATAAATTGGGGTAGGAGTGGTTTGTGTTTTAGTCTGGCTTTCCTTTGATTCCATCAGCTTCTTTAGGGCTGATCTCCTTAAGCACTGTGCTGCCTTCCTGCCAGAGAAGTATTTCAGGGAGCAGAACTGGTGGGGCTAGCTTACAGAACGGATGCAAAAAGCAGCCTCAGATTAAACTGAAGGGCTGAGGCATCTTTGGTTCCTCTTCCTTCATGTGGTTCTGCTGGGATTCCCCAGGTACCTCATGAAGTTTGAGTCATTACAGCCCCGAGGAGGACTTTCACTCTGAATTTACAGATGTGGTTAGCAGTTAAACATTTTACCTCTTTCAAACCCTGTGTTCTTCACCAGCTTGTTTCCTCTTCCTGCTGCAGGCTGTTAGTTAGAAATGGCCTCATTCCCTAGGGTGTGATGTGTCACAGCCACCCCCAGGGTGGTCAGAGCAAGTCTTCAGACAGGAGAAAAGTTGTGGAAGAGAAGCATGAATAAAACTGGGCTGTCCTCAGGCCTGAACAGCAGATGCAGGGGCTGTTTTAAAAGAAGGCAGATTTGAGGGTATTTGAAAGCATTGATAATGTTTTGGTGTCTTTACCTGGCTGCTTTTGGGCTCTTCCCAAAGGAGTGGGCCGGGAC